GGCGATAGTGGAGGGTTTGGATGTTGGGGGGTTGTTGTGGGGTTATTTGGGCTCGCTTGGGGGGGGTTGGGATTACTGGGGGTGCTGGGCGGTGGGGGTTGGGAGAAGTCTCATCAAGTAATAGTGGATTCGAATGTTGGGGGGTCCTCTCTGGAGGGGTATACTGAGGCTCTTTTGGTTTTGAGGTTACTGGGTCTCTCTTGGGATATGATTTTAGTGGGGGTCCCCGTGGGTGAGGGGAACTGGCTGCTGGTCCTGGTTGTGGCTCTGCCCTGCCAGACCCCTGGTTTCTCTGGGTTGGGGGGTTCATTGACACCGACACCCCCCCTGTCCTGCCCCCCTCGGGGTCACCCCACGCCACCCAGCGAGGCCGGAGCCTCCGCTGCTCCTCCCAGACTTCGGGAACCGGCCTTGGCTTCCCGGCACTGCCATCGCTCCTCCTCCGCGTTCCCCCACCTGTGGGGCCCTATCCCAGCTCCATCCGGGGAGCAGCACCCGACAAACCAACCCTCTGTGCCTGGAGCGTTTGGGGACGGTGCAGGAGGCAGCTTTGGCCTGTTGTGGCACTGGGATCGCCCCGCTCCCGGGGAGCCTGGCACGGGGGGGGCGGGGGGGCTGCCGTGGGTGATGGGAGGAGTGTGAGCTCCTTTGGGACCCTGCCGTGGGTGGCTCCCCGTGCTCGGTGCCAGCCGGCTGCGGTTTGGCGGAGGAAGCGCCTTCCCCGCCGCTCGGAAGCGGCCCCGGCGCGGTTGAGCTGCGCCCCGGATGTGCCGCTCCAGCAGCGAGATGGATGGACGGGGCTGCCACCTGTCCCCCTGTGCCAGGGCCAGCACAGTCCCCTGCCTCTGGTGTCCCCGTGTCACCGCAGCCCTGTGTCCCGACATCTCCCAAGTCCCCCCATCCTGATGTTGCCAGATGCCTTTGTCCCAAAGACCCCACATCTGTTGTCCCTGCGTCCTGAAATCCCCAGAGCCCATTGTCCCCAAGTCCCTGCATCCTGACGTTCCTTTGTCCCTCGATCCCTTTGTTCCCAAATCCCCCCATGCTGCTGTCCGTGAGTCCCCAGACCCCTCTGTCCCTCAGACCGCACATCCTCCATTCCCAGCTCCCTTTGTCCACAATTGCCCACAAACTGCTGTCCATGTGCCCCCAGAACCCTTTGTCATCAAGTCCCCACCTTCCCAGACCCCCATATCCTCACGTGTCTCCCCCCCCCTCCGCCAAAACCTCGGGATGATGCCGGCAGGGCTGGCTCCCGGTGCCCAGGGTAGGTGGGTGGGGGTCTCACGGCCCCGGAGTGGGAGGTGCGTGGGGTAAAACTGATGCCCGGGGCGGGGGTCTCCTCCCGGTGCCCGCAGGGTCCCGGTGCTGCGGTGCCGCCCGGTACCGACAGAGGGCGCCGCGGGCGGGGTCGCCCCCGCCTCCCCCGGGGCGGATAGAGGGACCGGGAGCGGGACCGGGACCGGGAGCGCGCGGGATGCTCCCGGGAGTGCTCCGCCTGCTCTGCTGCGCCGCTGCCCTGCTCGCTGCTGCAGGTACCGGGCACTGGGGTGGGGGGTCCCGGGGGCACTCGGGATCTGGAGCACCGGGGGAGGTGGGTCTGTGGCTTCCCCCCGCCCAGTCCTGGGTCCCGGGAGCGGGGTGGAGGTGCTGCGGGGCACCAGGGAAGTTTGGGGAGGTGACCATGTGCTCCCCTGAGCCCTGCACTGGCGGCTCAGTGGGGAAGGGGCAGGGGGGTCCATGTGGTGCCCCCCCTGGGGCCTCGTGGCATGGGGGGGGAGCTGCACCTGCTTCCTGGAGGTGCCAGGCTGGAGGGGAGCACCCTGACACTGCTCAGCACCCTGTGCTGCTACAGGCCCCCCATTTCCAGCCTGGGCCCCCAGCACCCCCACCCTGCACCCCGAGGTGCCTCAGCTCACCCTTCCTGGCACAGGGTGCTTGGCCCTGGGTTCAGTCATCCCGGCGTGAGGCAGCAGCTGGGTGGGAACAGCCCGTCCTGGTGGGCCCGGCAGCCATGGGGACCCCCAGCACCCGGCCACGCTGTGCCCCTGGGTGTTGGCGCTGGGTGCCGGCTCTGCCACGAGGCATTTCGCTCCAGTGTCCCCCTGGGGCCAGGCTGGACCTGCTCCTCCTCTTGTGCAAACAGGACTTGAGCAGATAAAGGCACTGCCCGGGAAACGCCACCACGGCCCACGTGGCTCTCTGGTTTCCCCCATCACGCCCGGCCCTGAGGGTGTCTGGTGGGTGCCACGAGGGCCAGGCTGGCACGTGTCCCTGTGCCGTGGCACTTGCCTGCTGCTGCCACGCTGCTCTGCTTGTGCCACGACAGGTTGGGAGGCTCTTCCTGATCTTGTGTTTCTGGGAGCCCGTATTGGCTAAATCCCAGTTTTCTGTGTGTGATGAAAACCACCTGGGAAATGATCCCTGTGGCAACAGGAGCCCAGGCAGGTGCTGCTGCCCTTCCTGGGGCTCTGCCGTGTCCTTGCTGACCAGCTCTCTCCTCTAAGGTCTAGAGCCAGGACATGGCACCAATCCTTCCCCTGCAGTGGAACTAAGCAGCTCAGGGACAGCTGTGTCACCAACTTCATCCAGGACACCGGGATCAACAGCACATCCAGCATCTGCATCCAACATCACCATGAAACCATCTTCATCCAGGAAAACGGGATCAACAGCACCTCCAGCATCTCCATCCAACACCACCACACCAACTCCATCCAACACCACCACACCAACTCCATCCAACACCACCACATCAACTCCATCCAACACCACCACACCAACTCCATCCAACACCACCACACCAACTCCATCCAACACCACCACACCAACTCCATCCAAGACACCGGGATCAGCAGCACCTCCATCCAACACCACCAGACCAATTCCATCTAAGACACTGGGATCAACAGCACCTCCAGCAGCTCCATCCAACACCACGATGGAACCATCTTCACCCAGGACACCGGGATCAGCAGCACCTCCATCCAACATGACCACGGCACCTACTCCATCCCACCCAAGTGTGCCCAGATCCAACTCGACAGCAGTGCCGGCCCCATCCTCACCCAGGCCCCCTGGGCCCGCTCCTGCTCCCAACGCCAGCACACCCACTGTGAGCCCTGGTCCCAACAGCACCTTGGCCACCAGCTCCAGAACGACAGTGGCCATCGGCATCGCGGCCGGCAGCTCAGGTGAGAGCCAGGCTGGGGGGCACTGGGCAGGCAGGTGACTGGGTATGGGCACAACAGCAGCCCTGGGATCCTCTTAGACCCCCTACTTGGGGCTGTGCTCACAGGGGGGCTCAGGGGGAGTGCAGGTCCCTGGGTGAGCCCAGAGCCCCCCTGGCTGCTCCAGCCTCCCTGGGGGGTGTTGAGGGTCCCCTTTTCTCCCCCAGCCTCTGTGTCACGGGACTTCAGCTGGGGGGGGTGGGAGGCCCCTGAGCTGGTCCCCCACGGGCAGAGGTGACACAGAAACTGGATGCTAGTTTTTGGATGTATGGGATGGTGGAGGGGGGGTACTGGAGCCAGTCTTGAGCCCCCTCTCACCCTGAGGTGCACGAGGCTCAGCGGTGCCAGGGTGGGGGTAACAGGGTGCCCATCTCACCCCTCACAGAGCATCAGCTGAGCTCTGGCGTGGTCATCGTCATCTGCCTCCTGGTCTGTGTGCTGGTGGGGGGCACGGCGGTGCTGCTGGTGCGGCTGTGCCGGCGCAGGACCACCCGCTTCCGCCACCTGGACGAGGTGCCCATGGTGCGTGGGGGGGCCGGGGTGGTGAGGGGAGGGATTTGGGGGGAGCTGTGGGCAGGGTGTGGGTGCTCACCCCACTTTCTCTCTCTTCCTTAGAGCAAGGTGCTGGAGGAGTCCCCTGTCACCCACCCCACACCCAGGTGACCCCCTGCCTCTGCCCCGGCCCCCCCCGGGACTCCCCGCGCTGCTGAATAAAGAAGCTGCTCCTCAGCTCTGGTTTCCCGTCTGCCATGTGCCCTGCCCGGGGAAAACCCCCGGTCCCGGGGGAGGGCCCAACCGCTTTCGGGGGTCCCCCCGCTCCGGGCTGAAGGCCCCAGGGTGTTCCCAGGCCGGCGGGGTGGGTGCGGGGCGGTGGTGCCCGGGGTGGGGGGGGCCGCGCAGCCCCCCCGGCGAGGTGGGATGGGAGGGAGGGAGCGAGCGGCCAGGCACGCACATCGCCTTCCTTCTGCTCCGCTGCACTCGGCCGAGGCCGCGGCTGGCGGCGACGACCGGGCACCGGTAAGGGGCTGCGGGCCAGGGCGGGGGGCTGGCGGCAGCGGGGACCCCCGTGCCGGGGCTCGGCATCCCCTGGGAACCGGGATGAGGCTGCTCCCGGTGCCAGCCGGGGCGTGGAGGGGCTCAGTCCTAGGGTGGATGCACCGGTGTGCCCCAGTTCCTCAGGGGGGAGGGTGCCCGCGATGGATCATGACGGTGGCATCGGTGGGTTCACAGCTTGGTGGGTGCTACGGGCCGGGGGCCACCCGCGTGGCCTCGGGCCCGATGTCCCTGTCCTCATCCAGCCGGTGGGAGCACCGGGAGTGGGAAGGAGGGGCCCCAAAACCCCAGGTAGGGGCTGACCCCGGCCGAGATCAGGCGCCCGTAAATCATGGAAGAGGGGGGAGGAACCCACGTGTCCCGGTCGCGCGGTGTCCCCCGGGTGTCCCCAGCCCCGGGGGGGGTGGTCCCCACCACCGAGCCCTCACCGGCCTCAGCTCCCGGAGCTCCCCCCGCAGGGACGGCGATGAGACGGAGCCGGACGGCGCTGCCCTTCCTCGGCGCGGAGGTGAGACCGGCACCGGGGGGCACCGCGGGGGGCGAGGGGGTGTCGCGGGAGGGGGCGAGGGGTGTCCCCGGTACGGGCGTCTCAGCGCCGGCCCCGCGGGCAGCAATAACCGGGCTGGCGGCGCTGAGCGGGAGTTAATTATCCTCCTAATGGGCGGTTAATTATTATTCACCTCTGCGTAATCGAGCGCCGGCTCCGGGGGGTTTTCCGGCGGGGTCCCGGGGGAGAAAAGTCCCCTCCGGTGGCGGCGGGAGGAGGAGGAGGATGAAGGGGGTGTCCCGGTGGCTCCGTGCTCTGCGGGACGAGCTGCTCCCGGTGCACCGGCTGTGCCCTTTCCCCGTGTCCCCCCCCGTCGCCCGGCTATCACCCCGGTACCCCCGGGGTGCAGTGCCGCACCGTGTCCGCCAGGGGGCGCCAGCACGCTACCGGCGCCCGGTACCGGCTGGGGGGGACGGGACGGGGCTGCCCCGGGACGGGACCCTCTGGCACAGACGGTGCCCCCGCAGACCTCCGCGGTGCCGCTCCCCGCGCCCCTCACCGCCGCCCCGTGTCCCCGCAGCGCTGCCGCGACGCCGCCGAGGCCGCCCCGTCGGGCCCGGGAGCCGCGGTGGGCGCCGTCCGCCGGCGTTTCTCCGGGACCCCGCTGCTGCCGCCGCTGGGCTGCCGGTTGGCGGAGGCGGCCCGAGGCCCCGAGCCCGAAGGTGCCCGGGTGGTCTTCACCATCGAGGAGAGCGGCCCGAGCAGCGGCGACGAGTCCGAGCCCCCCCGGTAAGGGTGGGACGGGGAGCGGGGAGGTGATGCCGGCCCCCGGTGGCACCGGGAAGGGGTAACCGGGCAAGGCGCTGCTGGTGGGGACGCTCCCGGGTTCAGCACCGGCGGGCGGACAGCGGCACCGGGGCACCGGCAGAGCAACCGGTGGGCTGGGGACAAACCCCTCTGTCACCGGCCCCGGGATGTCCGTCCCGATAGCCATCTGCACCTGCCACCCCCATTCCCACCACCCCTGTCCCCACCACACAGTCCCCATCCCCTCCATCCCCATCACCCCCATCCCTGTCACCCCCACCCTTGTCCCCCCTGTCCCCACCACTCATCCCTGTCCCCAACCCCTGCCCTCATCCTCCTCACCCCCTGCTTGTTCCCATCCCCTGGCCCAGCTGGTGCCACCGCAGGGTTGGCTCGGCCCTGTCCGAGGTGACCTCAGTCCCTCCCTCAGTGGCTGCAGGGCTATTTTTGGGCCATTCCCCCTGTCCTGTGCCTCTCCCAGCCCGCCTTGCAAGGGACAGCATGGAGCTGGCACAGCTGAGGGTCATGGCTCTGGTGTCACTTGTCATCCACCCCTGCAGACATGTGGGGACAGTGACAGCCCGACAGGGACTGGCTGTCCTGGGGTCAGGGACTTGCTGTCCTGTGGCCAGTCCTGTCTGGGCTGTCTGGGGGCTGCTGGCTGCCAGCTACCCTGGGGGGCTCTTCCCCCTCACCCCTGTGCCCTGATGTCCCTCTGTCCCAGCACCCCTCTGTCCTGATGTCCCCACCATTGCGTCTGCAGTCCCTTGGAGATGACGGTGACCCCCCCCCACGCACTCGGTGTGTTTTGGGGTCCCCACTGCTCCTGCCGTGGCAGGGGAGGAGGCCTCCTTATTGTCCCCCCTGGCTCCCTGCCAGCTGCTGGATATTCCCGTGGCCGCTGGGAACAGCAGGTATCCACATCCTGCTGCATCAGGCTGGGCAGCTGCCAGCTCCCACGGCCAGGCCGCTGGGTCACCCAGGGTGCCACTGTCACCGGCTGGACCTCGTCCTGCTGCTCCCTGTTCCCCTCAGGAATGGCCCCAGGAGGGGGCTTGGCACTGCACCAGGGAGGGGCTGGGCCACCATGTGGGGTGGGTTTGGCTCCCACTGGTCCCTCGGTTGGCACCGTGGCACACCCACACCATGTGCCCGGGATGCTCCAGGCTCATCTGTGCCCCTCGGTGGCACCGCGGCACGTCCACTCCGTACGTCTGGGTAGCTGAGGGGGCCGTGTGGCACTTTTTCCGCGTGTCCAGGCAGAGCACCCCTGCCCTTTCGGGAGCAGCTGCCGCCTCGGGGAGACAGCAGGGTGGCCGGTGGCACCGGGCCAGCGAGGGGCCACGTGCCCGGGCCGCCAGGAACACCGGGGGGGGACCCGCTCCCTGCGCCGGCTGCCGGAGCCAGACAGTTGTTTAATTTCCCAGGCGCAGGGCGGGAGGGGGATGGAAAGTTTCCCGGGGCCGCCGGGGCCGGGACGGCCGCACGCTTCCTGCTCCGCACCGGGGGCGGCGGGGCCGCGCCGCCCTGCCGGGGGTCCCTGAGCCGGGCCATGCTGCCCACCCCGCTCCCCTCGCCGGGGGCTTCTCCGGCAGCGTCTCCCCGCAATTCCCCCGTCCTCTTCAGGAAGCTCCTGATGAACCAGAGCATCCGCCTGCAGCGGCGCTTCACCGTGGCGCATCCCCTCTGGTAAGGGGGGGACGCTGGCGGGTCCCCGGGGGGAGTGGTGGCACCAGGCTGTGCTGCCGGGATGGGGTCAGGGGACCCCCCCCAGTGCTGCGGCGCGTCCTCAGGGCTGTGGGCCCACGGGGACGGAGTGGGGGGGACGAGGAGGGGGACAGCGGGTGTCCCCACACGGCCAGGGGCTGAGCCGGGCAGGGGGAGCCGCTGGACGAGCTCGGCTGAGCACGGACACGCTCGTTGCAGCGATGACCAGGCAGGGACCCGCGGTGGGGCAGCCCGGTGGGGAGGGAGGGGGGCTTTTCCCTCCAAATCAAGGCACCAACCCACCCGCCGCGGCACCTCCTCGCTTTCCCCGGCTCGGAGCTCTGTAGGGTTGGTTTTGGGGTGCCCCCCTGGGTGCTGGTGGGTGCCGGCCCCACCTGCGTGAGCTCTGCAGGGCTCAGCACATCCCTCCGCAACAGCAACAGCAACTATTTATAGCGGCCCCGGCCCCCCCCCTACCCCGGCACGGGCACAGCTCGGTCATTAACGCCGAAACGAGGGGGGTTAATTCGGCACCAGCCCCTTGGCGGGGGCTCGTGTCCCCCGGAGCCGTGCCCTGCGGTGGCAGCGGGGTCAGAGGTGGTGGCACGGGGCCGGGAACAGACGCGGGCATCACCCGCGGGGCCGTCGGAGGGACAATGCGGCTTTGTGTCCCCGGTACCATCGGGGATGGGAAGGCGAGGCAGGAAAACAAGGGGCTGCGGGGATGGCATGACGCGGTGCCGGCTGGCACTGCCACTGCCACTGCCGGGGACGGCCACGCCACAGGGACCGGGGCTGCCGGAGTGGGACGATGCTGCCGGGCAGCCGGTGCCCGTCCCGGAGGCACTCCTGCATCTGGTAGGTGCTGGGCTCCCGCTGGGGACGGGGTGGTCCCAGTGGCATCGGCGCTTTCCCAGTTCACCCAGGGCTCCCCGTCCCCGCGGCGGTGGCGGCTGCGGGAGGGGACAGGCGCTGGATGGCCCTGGCTGTGTCCCTGCTCCGCTCAGCCTTTCCCATGACCCCCGGGGCCAGCTGAGCAGGAGGGGGGGTGAGGCGATCGCGGCCAGCCTGGGGACACTGCAGGGTCACCATCCCTGTCCCCATGTCCCTTGTCCTCCCCCCCCCCCCAGTGGATGCACACGGTTGGCAGGTGACTTCGGTTGAGCTGCCTCCGGGCTGCCACCAGCACGTCCCCAAGGGCCAGGGCTTGGCTTCTGTGGTGTTTTCTGTCCTTCGATGTCCCCTGGCTCTGTGCCGTGGCTGGGACACTGTCCCCCCCATGGGACACGGCACCCCTGAGCCAGGGCTGATGGAGGCTTTGGGACTCTGGGGGACTTGGGATCATAGTGCTGAGGACAGGGTGGGGATGGGACAGGCAGGAGCTGGCCCTTCCCGGGGTCTCTGGAGCTTCAGGGCAGGGGGGGCCTGTCCCACCTGGGTGACATGGGACAACCTGGCTTGGCTGGCAGGGAGCTGAGGGGGTCCATGTGCACTGAGTTGTGCCCATTCTCAGCAGTGGGTGAAGGAGCTGGCAGGGCCAGGCTGGGAGGTGACCGGTGTCACCACAGGGGCCACCGAACCGGGCTGAGTGGGACGATGGCCCCGAGAGCCCAGCAAACCCGGTGGCATCCCACAGGCTGTGCCCCCACACCTGTGGGCTGAGGCCGCCGTGCCA